GAAACCGTGCCAATACTAATTTGAATCTTTACTTTCAAAGCACAATACAAGAATTGATTTTGTGCAAGAAATGTACTCTTGCATTTTATTTTTTTTGGTCAAGGAGGACTTATATAAGGCCATCTCCAACCGATGGCTGGCCAGAGGGCTCGTTTTAGCCCTCTGGCCCTCCAAGATTCTCCAAGATATTAATATTTTAATGAACAGTACAGGGCCATATTTGCCTCCGTCTCCAACCGAGGGCCAGAGGGCCAGAGGGCTCGTTTTAGCCCTGTCAAAAAAAACCGTCTCCAACCGAGGGCCAAAGGGCCATAGGGCCAAACATAATTTATTATTTAAAAACTACAACTTAATTTTATTTAAAAATCATGTTGGTTAGTGTTGTATAATTTTTATGTCGGTTAATGTTATTTAATGTTGTTTCATATTGTTTAATGTTGTTTCATGTTACTTAATTTAATTTAATGTTGTATAATGGCTTAGGAAGTTATAGGAAAAAATTAGAATTTAAAAAAAATATGAAACAAATTTTGTGAAATAGAAGTTATAGGAAAAAATGGAATTTAAAAAAAAAATATGAAACAAATTTTGTAAAATAGAAGTTATATGAAAAAAATATGAACCAAATTTTGTAAAATATAAGTTATAGGAAAAAATAGAATTAAAAAAAAATTGAAACAAATTTTGTAAAATAGAAGTTATAGGAAGTTATAGAAAAAAAAAGAAAAAAAAAGGTTTAAATTCATAAAAAAAAAAGGTTTAAATTCATAAAAAAAAAAAAGGATTTACAACGGCTAGTGGCGCTAGCCGTTGGAAGTTTGAATTCAAAATGTTATTTCTGTCGGTTGTAACCGATAGAAATAATATATATTATATTATTTCTGTCGGTTATAACCGACAGAAATAAGAAACATTAAAAAAAAAATAGCCAGCCCGGGGCTGGCTGGCTGGCCGAAAGCAGCCAGCCCTCCAGCCCTCTCCGATCCCGTGGGGCCCTCCCAGATTCCCGAGCCCTCTGGCCTAGCCCTCGGTTGGAGACGGTTTTAGGGCTATTTTCGGCCCTCTGGCCCTCTGGACCCTTCGGTTGGAGATGGCCTAACAAAGTCCAAACGGACACAGTACAAAGACAACAACCTCATAACTGAGGAAAGTACAAAAGAGACGCCACATATGCATTGATCGCATGAGTAAAGGTTCTCAATTATACCTAAAAAACAAAAAATTACATAAGATATGGCTCGGCCCAAAAGCCAAAGTCCACCCGAAGAGGCCCAAAAGTGACCAAAACCTGATAACCCCTATACCACTATAGAAATCAAAAGCTTTGGACATTGGCCAAGATAACTTGGTCTCTACATAAAAAGTTTGGATCCGGGTAAGATTGTGGAAAAAGAGAGTCCAAATACAAACATAGTTGAATTTTCAAAGGGGTACCTGTCACATTCATCAAACTATATATTAAGGACAAGGATTGTCTGACCTCCTTGTTCCTGTGTCCTCTTATTTTGTATGATCACGGTTAAGCCACGTCAACATTTTATATTATTTTTATATAGAGATAATAAGACAAAAATGAATAGTAATATAAAATGTTGACGTGGCTTAACCGTGACCACACAAACAGAATGGCATGGGAGGGCACGAGAACAAGAAGTGCAGACAATCCTTGTCCATATATTAATAATGTCGCTATTTAGTTGATAGTTGGTGTCAGAATGTTTTGACAGAAAAAAGGTGAGAGAGATATTTGGAATAGAGGAATCGGAAAATGAATCGTCTATTGTATATTATATGGTTAGTTTTCGTTAGGTATTATTTACATTTAATTTTAAATTTTAAAATATTTCTGATCGTACGATATAAGATGAACGGTCCCAATCCCGGAATCCTTAGAATCTTTTTTCGGAATCTAAATCCTCTTTATAAGGATCTTAAAAATTTATGAATCGTGTTCATTCATCATATATCGTACGATCAAATTTTTTTTTAATTGCCCGTATCTTGATCTAGATGAATTAAATGAACAAGGATCCGAAATTCAACCGCAACTCAAAACTATAGGAAGGCAGACTGATCCGTGCGCCATCTACCCTTCAGATGGCTATCCGTCCTTTTTCAAACAAATTAAAAGCCTATCTAGGCTTATCGCATCATCACAAAATGCCAAGCTAACCTGGGATGAAGCCATCTATCCATCAGATGGGTATCCGTCACTTTTTCAAACAAATTAAAAGCCTACCCAGGCATATCGCATCATCACCAAAAGTCAAGCTAAACTATGTTTCTTTCTGGAAGCACTTTCACCTCTTTCAAATTCCTAAGGGATAAAAGATTAAATCACCTCCCTCCCCTAAAACTCTTCCATCCCATTCTAATTCACTGGACTATGAGCAGGCCTAGTTGTTCACTTAAACTAAAATCTACTAGATTAACCTTTAGGTCATGTTCTGTAAGGCTGACGTCAGTTATAATGAAAAAATAATAAAGATTAATTAAAAATACAAAAAATTATAAAAAAATCATAACGAAAAATATAAAAATAATAATTTTTTTTATAAATACCTAACAATCTTCTTCCATATTAGACCATATTTTAATATTTTAATCATTTTTTATTATAATCTGAAATTAAAAATAAAATTTTATTTATTTATTATTTTATAAAAAATAATAATATTTTAATACGAATTAATTGCTTTATTCATTTTAAAAATAAAGATGCAATTAGACATTTATTATTCACAAAAAGCAATTAATATTCAATTAGAAAGGTCAAATTGTCTATTGTCCAGAAGACTTTTAGTTTTAGGTGTGAAAATGCAATTCACCTTTATCCCATACATGCATGCATTAATTTATGAAAGCATTTTTGCCCACTATCTTAAACTATAATGTATACGTACACATTATTAGCGATCAAAATGTCCCATCTCTTAACCCTAGTAAACTCATTGACTATATATATGATTTTCAATTTTTAAAATTAATTTTAAACATTAAATTAAACATAAATAAGTAAATAAAACTCAAACCCAGATGTGCTTCAACTTCCCTACCCAGCCAAACCCTACACCCACCCACCAACGCCAACCTTCTGTTGATTCTTCAAACCCAAATTCACCATGGCCTTCCTCCTAGCCTAATGGAAAAGTGCACAAGCATGATTCATGTAAGGTCTGGGTTCGAGGGTTGGTATCTTGCGAATTTGGTGCTTTTCATTCTTCACGATCACCCACCCACCCAGCCAATCTTCCTCTTCGGGTGACATGGTGAATCTTGCCATGTCTCCGTCCTCCGCCGTCCCTTCTTCTTCTTCCAGCCATATGATTTTCAATTTCTAAAATCAATTTCACCGTCATCATCGGTATCTCTCTATAAATTTCAGAACCCAAAAAATGGAATTTGAGATCTCAAAATCTCGGAATTGGGTTTTTGATGTTTTAGGCTTGTAAGCTTCTTCTTCTTCCGAACGAACTCACTGATTTGGTTTATGTCTCACTATCGAATCAGTTGGCTTTCTCTCTCTAGAAATTTCAGAACCCAGAAAATGGAATTTGAAATCTTGGAATCCGGGAGGTTGGTTTTATTGATCCGTTAATTTTCTTTTCTTTTACAATAAAATGACTTTTCAAATTGTGATTATCTCTCCTCGTAACGATATAGAAATAATTAAAAACATATGATTTAACTGTGAGAGTAGAATTCTCTACCCTCCTAATCTCTCTAATCTTCCATCCCTCTTATTTGAACAGTTATGGTTAAATTATGTCAACATTTTATATTGATTTTTTTATAGAGATATTAAGACAAAAAATAATATATGAGAGGAGATGATGAAAATGAATGGAAATAAGAGAGTAGAGAATCCTCCTCTTTAACTATGGTTAGGCTGGTGGACAGATGTTAGGTTTGAAGGTGAGGTGAGCATACATTATTGTTTGGGATAATGAACAAAAATGCTACCTTAATCCATCAGTAGTTGTCTTGCCACGTCAACATCCTTGACTACGCCACTTTTCAGTTCACACCAATGTTTTAAAAGACGCTATACGCTAATCAGACGACAGACTGGAGCCTAGTGCCTAGTCGGCTAGACAAAGCTTATTTGGATTTAAGTAAATCTATTGTATTTTGTGTAAATAAATGTTTGTTTATACTTAAAATATATATAATTTCATCATAAATTAGAAAACAAAATGATATATATATATATTATGAAGTATTGGAACATAATGAAAACATGGGGAGCAAACATATAATGTGAGTTTATTTAATTGTTCAATAAGTCTCTTACAATTTATTGGAAACAATAAAATAGAAAACGAAAGTTATCTATTTTCTATCTAAATGAGTTGCAACCTAGGCAGGTGTCTAACGGGTCTGGACGGGTTAGGCGGGTGTTTAGGTGGTCTAGACTGGCATGTCTAGACGCTCTTTCTTAATTTTCAAACGCCTAAACATTAATCGGAACTATGGCTAGCCGCCTAGCGCCTAGCCAGAGTCTACGCGGCGACAGTGGTTCACACGCCAAGCATCCCAAATCAGTTTGAAGTTTGAACAGTACTGCTTACTTCCAATAAAATATCAAGATAATTCGTTATTAGAAAATTATTATTACGATTTGAAACCACAATATTATTCTTAATAATACTAAAATTATCATTACTTTCAACTTTGCTCATTCAATGGGACAAAGATTGTCTGCCCTCCACTTCTCGTGCCCTCTCTGTGCCCTCCTATTTTGTGTAGTCACTGTTAAGTCACGTCAATATTTTATATTATTTTTTTATAGATATAATAAGATAAAAATGAATAATAATATAAAATGTTGACGTGGTTTAACCGTGACCACACAAACAGAAAAGCACATGGAGGGTACCGAAAGTGGAGGGCAGACAATCCTTGTCCTACTCAATGACCGTCCGACGGGGTGTATATTGGGTCCACTTATCAATAAATGGATGGTGACAGATGCCTCGTATCTTTGGCGGCCTAGCGAGCATTTATATAAGAAGGAATAAGACTCAGCAAGTCTATGCCATTGCCTTGCGGGCAAAGGAGTTCTCGGAAGTAGCTTCAAAATCACCAAAGGCAATATTGTGGTTTCAGGTAAGTCTTGTCTGTTTTTTTTTCACTAACAGTATAATTCGATATTATCAATAACATGTTATTGTTTTTAAGTTTAAGAAATGAAGGGCCGTGAATAAGTCGAGAAAGGGAAGGCAAAGTTTGTCATTCATTCCCTTCAGTCTATGAGATATACAGTGTTTCTTCTGCTTTCCTCTTCCTTCTCTGCTTTCTTTTATGCTCTCTGTAACTACCTTAACATGGTATTTGAGTCACGTTGACTCGTGTGTGAAGCAGGGGCATATCTATTAATGGATCCGGATGGTCCCAGAACCCTTAAAAAACTCCGAGAAACACTTGTGAGGACCTTGGAGGACCACCTGATGGTCTGAACACGTTCTTTTTGGTACTGTTTGGTACATGGGACAGGACAGAACGAAGTGGGACGAGGTGTTCCGTCTTACGTTTGGTGTGTTTAAAACGGATGAAACGCGCTATTTCATGAAACGAATTTTGGATGAATTTTCATTTCACCTCACCTCCTGGAAAGACCCGTTCCACATCCGTGGAACACAAAATTATGATCTTTCCGTCTCTTTCTTCTTCCTCCTTGTTTCCATCCAAAAGCATCTTTGCTTCCGTTCCGTCTCGTCCTGTACCGTTTCGTTCCGTCTCATCCGGTCTCCATACCAAACAATACATTTAATGATCTGACCAAAATGACATAATTTTGGGCCAGGCCATTTGGAAAAACATTAAAACTCTTTCATTTACAAACTCGAGGCTCAACTATTTTCATGCAGTTCCCTTATTTAATTAACACTTAAACCGTTAGATATGATAATCTTGAATAATCACTTGAATAGAATGGATTTGACGATGAAATTCTGTTATATTTCGGATATAGAAAAAAAAATCAGCCTATACGGCCGCTTAGGCACTACACAGTGCCCAGTCACTTCGATTAACCCATAGTCAGGGATGAAAATGGGCAAAGGAGGTTATTTGGGCGCCGAGCGGCCTAAGCGGTGCTTGAGCGGGCTAGGCGGGCGATTGGATGGCCTGGGCGTTTCAAATATTTTTTGGAGAGCAGCTGAGTATGGTTTGCACTCTGGTTCTGGTTGTGGGTTCCGCTTTTCAAACTTCTATGCCCATCGAAGAAGACGAGAGGAGGAAGAAGAGACAAATGTGTGTGTGTGTCTCTCTCTCTCTCCAATTCCCATCCACGTGATAGACGTGACCAACGACCACTCCACATGTTTTTTAATTTTTTATTAAATCCCCTTTTATGTGGCCCATTTTCCCTCACCTCTACAAGTCTATAAGACTATAAGACTATAAGACTATAAGACAATAAATTCAAAATCTTTGAAAAAATATTTACTAAGTGATTGAACTTATAATCACTTTCATTCTATTAGTTCAGCGATATTAAAGATATATAATAAATTTATTTAAATTTGCTTACACACCTAGATGTTAGACTCTAGCTCTTTGTTTGACTAGAACCTATTACTTTGAGAAATAAAAAAGTATTTTGTGGGAGAGATCAATGGTGCTGACGGGAGAGATCAAATATTAGCCAATATCATCAATGTATATATCTATTATATTATAACGACTAAATTAGTATCTATTATATTATAATGCATCAATAGAATAAATATATTTTTGGCATTAATACAAGAATTATATTATAATGTCTTCATTAGTACATATAATTTATTATTTTTTATTCTGAATAGTTTCAATTTGAATTGGCTTTGGTTTTACCGGTTATAACTACTTTAGTGAATAACACATTTTTCACCACGAATATCATTAAGTATTCACTCCTCAACAGAATGGAAGATTAATGATTAAGTGATAGTTTAGTTGTTTCGTAAGACCATTTTTCTTGTATTGATAATGAACATTTTCAAAGTATAAAAACTACGTCGTAGACAAATTTAGTATTTGTAGTGATTTAAGAATGAAAAGTATTTATTGTTAAATTTTTCAATGTTATTTGCATCTAAGATTTTTTTTAACTTTTACATTATAACCCTATGATGCTAGAATTCTGAATCCGTCATTGATATGAAGGTCACATGCAGTAGCGGAGGGTAGGGAAGAGAAGGGAGGCGAGGTGTCCAATGGGTTCGCATAACCCAAAATACTCTGTAATGATTCCATATAAATTTTGCCACTGATCCCAATACCCTAATAAGAACTTCCAACAATTAGCTTCAAATTAAAGTTATATGCAATAGTCTTCATGCGTTTGAATTTATCATTTGATTTCCATTATTTCTCAACACTATATTAATCAATAACCTTTCCTAGTGAGTTAAGTCAATTGAAAAGATTGATCAGTAGACTTTCACAAAAGTTGTATTTGCTCATGTGTATAGAGAGAGGCTAATTTTGTGACAGATGTTTTTGCTCATCTTAGTCATTATATACGATTTGATTATATTTGGTTCAATCTTGTTCCAACCAGCGTGAGGCATGCCTTACGCTTTGGCTCCCTTATTTAATCATTTATTTAAAAAAAAAAAAAGTCTAATTGCACATTGAACGTTATTTAAATTATTGCGATCCTTAAGTGAAAATAGTCTAATTGCACATTGAACGTTAATATGTGGTTATAATTTGGTTGTATATGTCGAAATAAGTGAAAACACTGTCGATAATGAGTTATATATGTATAAATAAAATGTTAAAATATCGATAACCTCGCCTACTTTTGAAGTTCCCTTTTATTCTATCTTATTACCATATTATTCTTTCAAAATTTACAATGTGATTTTAAAATATTATAACTTCATATTATTCTAACTTTAAAAGTTTACCTATACAATAACTTAATATTACGGTCTAGTGGTATTCTCCTTCATTATTAGAAATAGCAATTTGAGAAGTAGTTCTTAAATTTGGGAATGTAGAAATTGAATTTTTAGCACCAAATGGACATGAATTGGGAGACGATTTGGTTGGCAAACTCTAAATTTAGAGAAGGGCTCTTTCTACTCTATATATGGAGCTCAAAATATTTTTTTGTGGGAAGTTGTGTTTTTAGAGTATGACTCGAGAGCAATTTTATTCAGAAAGTCTTTACTTGAAGAACATGAAACTAACTTTTCTTTTAATATAATATTTTTAGGAGAAAAACATGTCTTGTTTCGAAAACAATATGGAGAAATCAGCAATTGCTGCTATATTATTGCTTTTGTACTTTTTTGTCTTCTGCCCTCAACCAATGGTTCACTCATTCGCCACTCCATCTGACGTCGAAGGTACTAAATATATTTTGAAAGTCTAATTGGTTCTTCGAAGTAACTTACATAACAAATAAAATTAATAACAAACCAGTTCTCTTTATATAATCTTGTTTCCTCATCTCTTTATTCATATAATGCAGATTTTAGCTACTTGAAATTTGTACGTAACGCAACTGATCTACCATTGCAAGAAAAATACGACTACATTGTGGTTGGAGGGGGCACGGCAGGGTGCCCATTGGCAGCAACTTTATCCGCGAACTACTCCGTGCTCCTCCTAGAAAGGGGAGATATTCCCACAGCATATCCAAACGTGTTGAGTAACGCTGGGATTCTTGCAAATTTCATGCAAGAAGATGACGGTAAGACGCCGGCCCAGAGGTTCACATCAGAAGATGGTGTAGCTTTTGTAAGAGGACGGGTCCTAGGCGGGTCAAGTATGATCAATATTGGTCTTTACTCAAGAGCCGACAGTGAATTCCTCAAGAAATCAGGAATTAAATTGGACATGAACTTAGTCAATAATTCATATGAATGGGTTGAAAACACTCTAGTGTTCCGTCCGAATTTATCACACTGGCAATCTGTTGTGAAAGATGCATTGTTAGAAGCTGGTGTTCGTCCAGACAATGGACTTACTTTGGATCACATTAAGGGAACTAAAATCACGGGTACGATCTTTGACAATCGTGGAAGAAGACATGGAGCTGTGGAACTGCTTAATAAAGGACATCCAAAAAACCTGAGAGTTGCAATTCATGCCGCAGTTGAGAGGATCCTTTTCTCTTCCAAAGCATCAGGTATGCTAACATTTGATATATACAATTAAAGGCCATTTAGATTTCCATACTTGGATAAGATGAGTTAAGGTTTTTCATATTTTTCATTAAATCAATTTTAGATTGGATTTTGATTGGACTTTGATTTTGACCTTGTATGTTGCGTACATATTACTGCATATACATATGTGTAAGTACATTAATATGTTTCGAAAAACAAAAACCAAATCTATCATGGCGTTACAAAGAAAAACTCTTTAATACATTTAAAGAATTTGAATTTGAATTTGAATCTAATCTATATATTTAATTACTTGCAAATTAAATATTAGTTCAATTCTAATATCGATTTAATGCAGGTTTGTCAGCTAAAGGAATCATATACAGTGATCTTAACGGGAGGTCTCATCGGGCATTGATACGTGGTAAGGGTGAAGTTATATTGAGTGCAGGGGCAATTGGGAGTCCTCAACTTCTGCTACTTAGTGGTGTTGGCTCGAAGTCCTACTTTTCATCTCTTAAAATCCCAGTTGTTCACCCACAACCTTACGTTGGGCAGTTTATGCGTGACAATCCTCGTAATTACATTACCATTTTGCCCCCATTTCAACTAGAACCTTCTACTGCACAGATTGCTGGTATCACAAGTGATTACTATATAGAGACTTTCTCCGGCTTGCCATTTTCTACTCCGGCCTTTAGTCTTTTCCCTAATCCAACCATTCCCATGACGATAAATTCAACTTTCGGGCACATTGTTGTAAAACATCCAGCACCCTTGTCCTATGGTTCTCTTAAATTGCAATCTTCCTCTGATGTCAAAGTCGGCCCAAATGTCAAATTCAACTACTTTGCACAGAAGCCAGACCTTTCTCGTTGTGTTAGTGCCGTGAGGAAAATTGGTGATTTATTAAAAACAAACTCATTGAAACCGTTTAAGACTCAAGATTTACCAGGTGAAGAAGGTTTTAACTTTTTTGGACCGTCTTTACCAATGAACCAGTCAGATGTTGCATCATTTGAAACCTTTTGTCGAAATACAGTAGCCACATTTTGGCATTACCATGGTGGATGCCTGGTCGGAAGGGTAGTTGATGGAGATTTGCGGGTCATGGGGATCAAGGCATTACGTGTTGTTGATGGATCTGTATTCAAAAGTTTATCACCAGGGACCAATCCTCAGGCTACTCTTATGATGTTAGGCAGGTATGCATGCTACATACATTCAAATAAATCCATAAGAAATTACCTTTACTTAATACAACTACTTAATCATTTTTAACTAAATAATCCTCCGAAATATAAATTATTTGGTTATTTTGTTTTCCTTTTTTTTTTCATATAAGAATATATTGTTGTTGTTTTCCCACTCCAAATTCTGTTCTTCGGGCAGGTACGTTGGCCTTCGAATGCTGGAAGAAAGATCAGTCTGCAAGGTCGTTGATCATAATTCAACATTTCAACCGTATATTGGATTTCTTTAATATCAAAATGACACGTTTCTTTAAGGGGTGTGTTATCCACACACCCCATTTTACTTCTCACACACCCCTTAATAATTTTTATCTGTTGATCTTCTTCAATTCATCCGATCCGACGATCGAAAATTAAAAAGGTGTGTGAGAAGTAAAATGGGATGTGTGAATATCACACCCCTTCTTTAAGACTATAGTTAATTTGTCATGTAATAAATTGAAGATTATTCAATGGTTTAGTGTTATGGTTTTTACTCAAGACAAACTCAGTTAATAAGGTCATGATGTCGCTTCAATGACCCAACTGCAAAGCCAGCAATAAAAATTAGCCCTACTCCTGAAATTCATTATGTACTAAATTGTCCGAATGTTGATATTTTATCTGTTATTGATATTTCGTCGATGCATTTTTATATTTTGTCGATATGGATAAATCCTAAGTTAAGAAAATTTCGTCAAAAAGAGCTATAATTGAATACATTTTTTAAGCAGGGCTATTTTTTATTGGTGATTTTTTTGCCAAGGCTATTATTAGACCAAATTTCCCTTCGTTTTATCTTATTTTTTTTCCTTCTTTTTAAATTGTTTTTAGTCAATATATACTTGTCTCAGTTGACCTTCAAAGTAATTTTTTTGGAGGACTTCTCAAATTAACGAGAGCAAGTTTATATTAAAGGAGACGTTGGATGTGATCTCTAATTATTAATGTTTTTTAATTAAAACCTTTGTGGTTTTCAGTTTTTGATCGAAGTCTTTGACATTAATGTAATAATGTATTTTTAATTTTTAAATAAAACCCATTATTTATGGGATAAAAAATATTAAAGATAAATTATACTCTCCAATATATTGTGTATATATATATACACATGCATGGGTATGTTCATCAAAACTAACCAAAAAATTATTGCACCAAAACATGGGATACATTTTTCAAATATATATATATATATATATATATATATATATATATATATATATTAGGCTTAATAACATTATTAAATTTCTTCTATTAAACTTGACATGGATACATTCTCAAATCATAGAATGTACCCATATAAGTTAAAAAAGTGGATTAGAAAAAAGATTGAATGAATTTTATATTTAAAAAAAAGGTACATTAAAATTGAAGAATTATATGAATGGGTACATATAAGATAAAAAAATTGAACTTTTTTATAAAAAAAATTAATGGGTACAAACTTATTCTAATTTTATTTTTTTATATTTTGGAAATGTTTTGAATTGAAAATTAATTAGGAGTTTAATAAATATGTGAGTATTTAAACCCTAAATCAATTACTAATTTTTATTTTTAAAAATTATGTAACTGACATTTAATTCATTAATACATTAATACTAGAGACTTTGATTGACACATCCCGACCCGGAATGTCCACAAGGACTCCGAATCGAGCTGTGTTGGCCGACACCTAGAAGGTGACGAAGCCACAAAGTGTAAAGATGTGGAAAAATATGAATAAATTTGAACCTCAGAGTGCCTAAATACCAGAGTGCGCTGTGAGCGGAAATGAACCCATTTCACACGTGACGTTAGAGCATAAGTAAAGTACAGTAGAGTAGATTGAAAATCATACCATTAAGGGTAATCTCCCATATCAAGACTTGCCCCAAATCCTCGTCGATACGAAAGCTCAGCTAATAAAACCTGGAGGGTGAAAACAAAATAAAGGTGAGTGGTCTTGGTAATAAAATTTTAATAGAAACCATATAGAACATTATAACTCATCGCTACAACACCTGTATAGTTTCCAGAAAAATCATAAATATACCACAACACAAAATCTCATCAGCAATATCAATAATCGTGTGATTAATAACCCATACTAGCACGCAAGTCAGAGTCATCTATGGTGACCTATACGACTGCACCCATATCTCATCAATCGATGTTAACTCATAAGTCAGAGTCACTTATAGTGACCTGTACTACTTACCCATATCTCATTACATATGCTAGTTCATCACATATGCCAGCTCATCACATTTTTCATCACATATGCTAGCTCATCACATATTTCATCATATATGCTAGCTCATAAGTCGGAGTCACCTCTAGTGACCTGTACGACTTATCCATAGCTCAATAAGTATACCTGCACACGAGTCGGAACCACCTAAGGTGGTTTGTACGACATGATTGAGTGTAAATAAATACGCTTAAGTGCTATGAACACGTGAAGACTGTGCGAATAATCGCGGGTCACCTACGAGTCGGAACCACCTATAGTGGTCTGTATGACAGGACTGTGCACCTACCTTGGATCCAAGGTGAGCGTAAGGTGCGGGAGGTGAACATCACGTGAATGATTGTGCCCTGGCCACGGGCGGGAGCACTAACACCAGGGTATAGGTCTATGAGCTCTCAATCCATCTTAACATAACATGTACGATTCATGGGCAACCCGTATGACAATGTCGGAGTTGCTTAAAATATTATATGGTCATGCCATAACTCCATCATTTCAACTAATACCATAAACTCACCTGAACTTACCTGAATGTATTGTGTTCACCTTTGCACTCCAAGCGTTCACAATAATTATGTGCAGGTAATATACATATAGATAAACCATGATGCAATCTAATACTCAACCATATTATAGTATTTTCAATTATGTATATATATATATATATATATATATATATATATATATATAATATGGCATAAAAATGCATAAGCTGTAACGCCCTACTCTCAAACTATTTATTTTCAGGAATAATTATCAGTGTTAAGCCCAACTAGACACTAGTTTAATTAACTATCATTACTTACATTTCCTTACTTCAAATTCTTAATTCTTCACACATTGATTTTTGACCACCAATTAATCACCAAGTCATAATGTTAACTCTCACATTTTCCACCAATGTCCCTCACATTACTCAATTTCCTAAACAAGACTATTGCCTCAATTATTTAGTCTCCCTTCTTCTATGGCTGCATCTAACGTCTCGTTAGACTGCCTACATACCCTAAACAGGGATGAAGCCATTCGTAGTTCACGATAGTATTTCAAAGCATTTACAGTAATTATATGCAATAATTCAATTTATAAACGTTTATGGAATTGTCAATCATAATCATATATATATATATATATATATATATATATATATATATATATATATACTATACGATAGAAAGGAAGAGATCCACTCACCTGAGGTCCGCGCTATGACTCCCTAACACGCATATCGAGATGTCACAAACCATTGTCGCCTATGACCAATTATCAAATCACATCTCAGAGTTCTGACTGATAAAAATACATAATTTACATAAAACACACCCCTAAGATTTGATCCGGAAGATCCGCATCATGGATTTCAGATCCGTTACTTCCAAAGATCCACATTATGCTTCTAGAATAACATCCTAAAATTTCATTACGATCCAATGGTTGGATCTCCGCTAATTGTCAAAAACCAAGTGGCGGTCAACATTTTATTTTATGAACTTACATATCCAATTTGGGAAGATCCGTTCGTCAGATTCCCAATCCATAAGTTTCTATGGTCCTTAAACATTATGTACTATAATGTATAAAAGTTTGGTGACGATCCAACGATCGGATCGTCGATTCACATTTTTACCAAGTAACGTAATTTAGGTCCAAACGATCAACCTACGATATAAAATCACCAAAACTGAACTCAAGACATCTAATTTAGCCTAAGAATAACATCGACGGTCCCCTGGCCACGCGCCGCCGCGATTGGCGGTCGACCGCCCCGACTCGTCGAAAAATCCAACTATTTCCAAAAATTACCAATATTTACAGGAATGACAATCTCAATGAGTGGAACAACTTTCATACATATGACCAAAGCCAATTTGGCCGAGAAAAGCCTCAATTTTTCCAAAACCTGTCGGAAACCCTTGAATTTGGGTGTTCTTGATTCGACTCCAATGTAACTTCGACGCTCCAATCAATGTTTGGGCTTTGTTCTAGACCTCAAGGAGAGTATAATGGTGGTAGTAATTGGATGAAATCATTTCAGATTTGGAGGATCGAAGACACGGATTCATCACGCCTATGGGTACGGTTTTCATCAAATCAAAGCCAAACTCCATAAATTTTGGGTTGTAATTGGTAGAGGAAAGGTCATGGAGTGTTTCCTAAGTGTTAATTTGACATGAATCGCCGGAAAAATGGGTGAAAATTGGCTGGAATAACCCCGGCCGAACGGGTTGGGTGTTATGGGTACACGGGTCCAAAAAGAAGAGGGGATATTGGTTCCCTCATTTCCCTCCTTAATCTCTTTTCTCATCGGTTGCTTGGTCCTTAGTTCCTTTTTATTTGATTGGTCCCTTGTACTTTAATTTAATTGGTCCTCATCCCACAAGGTGGGAATTCAAATAATTTATAACTAATCTTTGAATAACCCAAAATCAAACGTCCGTAACTATACGTTATAATTCGGACTCGCAAACGGCTTCCGCCTATGCGTTCGTACTAATGAGTACTACGACGATATGTTAATAGAATAAGTCATACGTCTCACTATACGTTGGTCAACGTAAGTCAATACCCTCGCCTCTTAGGGTATTTAAGTACACTCACACCTTTAAAATTTATAAATTCTAGAACTAGGGACGGGTTGTCACAATCTATCCACCTTAAAAAAATTTCGTCCCCGAAATTTGAAATCACTAGTTATACATAAAATGCTCCAAAAAATCGTAAGAAAATGTACACATAAGAAGAAATCAAACTAGAGCGGTTGCATAAAATAGAATGTCATTCTATCGCGATCGGAGTGCAGTAATTCCTCTTTTATGCTTCCAAGCTCAAACTTTCCTTCTCTTTCACTACCATGCCACAAATATAATAATTACATTATCTCTCAAATGATGCCATACTCCTAATAAAAAATGTAACTGTAGATACACATAACTCTAACAAATTAAGCGTCTATCAAATATGCAATGTGCATAAAGTCTTTGCATGTCGACTCCAATGGTACCATCGCTAAACCAAAATTGTAACCGTGTTTACAAGCAACTAAAATAGAGACAATGGTATGTTGCAACCAGGATAATGGTGGAACGAACAAGATGAAATTCGTCCACTAAGGTCTGAGTAGCTAGTTTCGAGCTAATAATTAGTTTAGGGGTAGAAATGTGATACTAAACAGCATCTAATATTCATAACCTTCATAAAGACTTCCCAAGGGTTTGGAAGTGAAACAGGTAGCACGATGAAATATAAATACACCAAGATGATAATCTTGTTGAATTTCTGTTTGCCTGAACTGGTATCAAGAAGGCTTCCCAAACACTTGTAAACATGCATCCCAATAAGATGTAATAGTGACATACCTG